CCACAGACAGCTCACTCTAACCAAAATTCAGACCAAGAGGACCGGAGGTTTGAACACGGTTCATTTTTTCTCAACTGCGATCAAGAATATTTGGAGATCTGTCCTTCTAGTAGCAGAGAAGCAGTGGGGTCTGTAGTCAAATCTTTGCGGCCAGTGTTGACAGTTAGCCGATGTCTAACTCTGTCCAAAGGTCTCGTGAATTTTCTGGCTGTCTGATGTATTCAGCCCTGACCAGACAGAGCATACAATAGTGTAAGCGTGTCAATGCAGTCGCAGATAAAATGGAGGTAGGAGTACCTCGAGGGAGGTGGGGCGATAAGCGCGCCCCTCCGTCTTACGGGCTCCTGAATTTAGGGAAGAGGATGGGTGGGGCATGTCAGGGAATAAACAAGTTCACAATAATCCTGAATAATAAAGAATTACGAGGGTAAGTTGTGGCGCGTACTCAAACTTCGGGAGGGGACACTGAAGAACGCTTTAACATCATTTCTGACCCCCTCCGGACGAAAAGTGGGCGCGTGTATGTCGATGGAGTGTGCCCTGACCTCTAGCGAGGCCATTAAGGTACAGTTTCTAGTAGTACCACTAACCCCAACTAGAAGAAAGGCGACCGAATGAAGAAGTTTGAAGATTGGGGGAGATCAGTCTACTTAAAATTTGTGAGCTGGCGATTATTCCCGTGGTTAATTTTGCTTAGTGTACGGACTTAAGAGGTTATTGTATGCGGTTGGCTTCCGAGGACCACTCTGCAGTTCAATGCCATAATCCAATCCCTGCTGGATCGACGGCTGGCGTGCAGAAAACTGAAGATTGTGGGTAATTCAACCTACTTAAAATTTGTAAGTTGGTGGTTATAATACGCAAGGACTATTCTGCGAACCCAATAGGTACCCTTACCAAAACGGAGTGCTACCGAGTTAGGGGTCGAAGTTGTCACAGTCGAAGTGAATAACTAACCAGCTAGAAGCGACGGGAGAGGCGTCGGTCCAGCCAAACTTGTCTGTCCAGTTTTCCTGAGAATGGATTTGATTTTCCTGCCTATTGTCAGACCAGCAGTGCCCGCCAAATGAAGAGGTTCAAGCATATCAAACCTCAGGAGAGTCCCCACGCAGGGGCATTCCGCATCAATACGGGACCTGTGTCCAAACTGAGTGGAGGTGGAGTGATGACTGACTTCTTCGAGGTCCCCGAGTTTTGCATTGTAGTCGGCACTGGGTCCAGGAACGTCAATTACTATATCTCCATCCACAGAAGAAATGGTATTGGAGCAGGGTTTCATTCTCATTAGGGTGCGCTGAAAAAGAATACGTGCGCACATTAACAGTTGTCACACTGAAAACTTTTTGGAAACCGAGGAGGGAGAAGACCTACACCCCAACCGCACGGACCTTTTCCACAGGCAGCGTAATCTGTTTTTAAATCCATTATTTTATGCGATTGGTTTTATTTTCCTAGAACAGAGTTATGAAACCGTGGTGGGAGCATGTCTGATTCCTTTGGGATACCTGGTAAATTTCACACAGCAGACAACAGCAGTTACAACAATGCCGTAGAAATCACAATTGAACTGGCACTGGTATATCCAGGTACACCGCCCGAGAACCTGACCAGATTAAGCAAAAATCCTTACAAATATGAGTACTCCTGCTGTCTGCCTAAAAAGCCAGTCACAAATCGCAAAGATACTCGCTAGCATTGCTCATAGTAATCTTCTTGTTAGTTTTCTGTTTAAACGTTCTTGTGATCTAGCATTCAGCTGTCCCATAAATATCAAAGGACGCGCTTGTAGTGGGCGTTATCGTCTCTGTTGAAAACCCGTGATAGCTGACTCATCACGCCAAGGCCGCAGTCACCCCGACTGCCTGTACCCTGTCCGTTTCCCGCTCAGTTACCTGCGCTAC